GGTTCCTAGGGGGGAAAGGAGGGTGGGCTTCAGGCAGGGAGTGCATGCAGTGCCGCCCCCTCGGCTCCTGCTCCCCACTCGCCGTGTTGACGTAGGTGTGGGACTGCAAGGAGAGAAGCAGAGGGACAGTGAAAGGAGAAGAGACAAGAGCAAAAGCAGCTGTCAGCAGCTGAGAAACCCACCAGGGAGGGGAAGTTTATCAGTGGCTGGAAGAGTTTGGGAAGGCAAAAAGATTTTGGGAAGCAAAACACAAAAGCCATTTGAGGGTTTGTGGGCTGAAGCAGAGACAAAAAGGAGCTCAGCTGCAGACACACGCTGTATGTGTCCACGAGGTTGGACACCAGGAGGAATTTCTGCATGGAAAGGACTGTCAGGCGTTGGAAGGGGCTGAACAGGAGGTGGTGGAGTCACCATCCCTGGAGGTGTCCAAGGGACAACTGGACATGGCACTCAGTGCTCTGCTCTACATGACTAGGTGGGGATCAGTCACAGACAGGGTGGACACAATGATCCTTGAGGTCTTTTCCAACCTCAGTGATTCTGGGATTCTGTCTGTGTCACACTCAATGCATATGGAACAGGGCAAAAAAAGCAAAGCCACTTGCAAACTATTTCCATGAGTGCCTCACACACTGCAGCCCTCACCCCTCCCAGGCCTCCCTGGGCATGGGTCAGACAAGCTGGAATTTGTAGGGGAAAATCTTAACTTCTACATCTGAGAACAAAGAGCTGAACATCAAAAAGGCAAACCAAAAGGGTCTGAGTTTGGATGTGCATCTGCACAGCAGTTCAGGGGCTGCAGTAAGAGCTGACAGGTACCAGTGGGCTGAGGACACAACCCAGTTGGCTTTGACAGAGCTTCTGCTCTAGGGAAGGGTCAGAGAGCAGCAGCCTCCAAGAGAGAAAAACAGGGTGACAAGGTGTGAGGATCCCTTGAGCTTTGCTGGAGTAGGAGAAACCCAGAACTGCACAGCAAAACCAGCTGCTTGCACCCAGCAGAGTTCAGGACATGCAGGTTTACCTGCTCCTCAGGCCCAAGGAGGGGATGAGTGGACTCTTCCCCCACGGACGAGTGCCTCAGGCTGCCCACGGAGGGGTGACGAGCTGAGGAGTAGGACAGGGACTCTCCAGGGAAGCTGGGAAATCCATTGGGAAATCCTGGGACAGTGTACCCCAGACCTGGGAGAGAATCAAGACAGATAAGCATTAGGTTGGTCCAAATAGAGCTGATTTCACTGACCCAGTGAGCTGGGCTCTGCTGTACCCTGCCAGGCAGGACCAGCCTGTGTGGGGAGATCCCAATGCTGAAGCACAGACACAAGGGCCATGCCCCCATTTAAATCCAAGTCACTTCTCGTGGAGACAGGAATTGAGCCCATCCAAACCCAAACCTAGATGTGGTTTCCTCTAGGAACCACTGACCCTTGGTAGATGCTACTTAGAAAAGGCCACTTGGCAGTGGTGCAGAGAAAACCAGCTGAGGGGTGACCACTCAACCGGTCGAAGGGGTTTTGTTGCTGTTTCCTTGGAAACAAAATTCCACATGGGGAACAAGTGAGGCCTTAAAATAAACATGGGGCACACAAAGACATGAAGATAGGGGAGAGCACATGGGATTGATCTCCCCCCAACACTGCTGGGCCTTACTGTTGGGTGCCTGGGGGGTCCTGGCCAGCTCCCTCTCCGAGGGGTGACTGTTCCTGGTGATCACCACAGGCTCCTCCACCACGTTGATGCTGTTACACTGCATCAGGTCCTGGAGCAGGTTGAAGATCTCCTCAGCTCGGGAACACTTGAAGGCAAAAATCCCTGTGCAGTGACAGAGAGGAGGGTTGGAAGGGCAGGAAAGTGATCCTGTTTTAACAGCTCCATCCAGCCCCGCCTGGAACATCTCAGCATTGTTCTCTCACACCAAACCACCACACAGGTGTGGAGGGACAGGTGAACTGGGCTCTGTTCTCCTCTGACCTATTTTAACCCACCTCAGCCCCATCCTCACTGCCAGGGGTTGGTCTGTGCAGTGACTCCTCAAAGCTGGACTGGGCCCTGGGGCTTGTGCACGTGAGGGAGGGACAGAAACACCCTACTCTTCAAAATCTGTGGAATTAAAGAGTGTGTCCCCACAGGAGCAGCCCAGCCCAGTATCCAATCCCTGTCTGGCACACACAGCCATGGCAACGGGAACACTTGGCAACCAGTGCTGCTGCCCCTCACAGCAGTCTGGCCAAAGAAAGAGCTGGTTCTGCCTTGCATCAGGTGGGGAATAGCACGGGGAAGGAATCCCCCAGATCAGGTTAATCAGCAGAATAAAATCCCACAAGGAAGGGACTCATTGAAA